CTTGTAGTAGTAGGTTNTGAAACATCTTGTTCACTAGTCGTTAGTAGGTTGCTCCCTCATTTTTCAGTCCAATGGGAATGACCTTGTAGTAGTAGGTTCCCTTTGGAGTGATGAAGGATGTCTTCTCTTGATCTGGTAGATTACCCAAAGTATACATCCAGGAAAGTGAGTAGTTCATGGCTGACAGTGGCATTGATGAGAATGTTGATCCGTGAGAATGGGTAGCTATCTTTAGGGCACGCCTTATTAAATTCGGTAAAGTCGACACATAGGTGCCACTTTTCATTAGCTTTGGTCACCATCACAATATTTTGATAGCCAAACTAGATAGACCACTTTTCTAATTGTCCCATTTTCTATTAGCTTCCCCACCTCCTTATCCATTGCTTACGTCCTTTCAGTGGAGACATTCATCAGCTTTTGGCAAACAGGCTTATAATGGAGGTTGACATTGAGGCAGTGTGTGGTGACCTCAAGGTCGATGCCCTCGAGGTCCTTATGTGACCACGCAAAAACATCCATATTGTGTCTTAAAAAATTTGTGCGCTGTTGGGCTAAATCCTCAAGAAGAGAGGAACCAATATACACCCTTTTGTCTGGAAACTTCTCATCCAGAACCACTAGTGCGAGCTCCTCCACTGGTTCTCTTCTCTCCAGTGTGTTAGCATCTCTGGGGTCGAACACCTCCACTTGTAAGGCTTCTTATAGCTTCCTTGTCTTCATGGAGGAGATGTAGCATTATTTTGCGGTAACCTGATCTCCCTGGACCTCTCCATATCCATTTGGGGTTAAAAAATGGAGGATAAGATGATAAGTGGAGCGCACGGCTCTTAGAGTGTTAAGAGCGGGTCGCCCTAGGATGACGTTGTAGGTTGACGGGCAATTCATCACCAAGAAGTTCACCATGAACGTGGAGCTTCAGGGTGCTACACCGGTGGTGACTAGCAAGGTGATGGATCCTAGGGGATACACCTTCTCCCTTAAAAATCCAATAATAGGTGACCTAATGGGCTATAGTCTTTCTCTCCCAAAGCAGAGCTTGCATATACTTTTGCGAACAGTATATCTGTTGAGTTGCCACTATATAGAAAAATCCTTCGCACTTAAAAATTGGCGATGGTCATAGTCAGCACCAGTGGGTCGTCATAGGGGTGCTGAATTCCTTCCAGATCCTTGTCTAAAAAGGACATGACCTCATCATTTCCTTGCTTGTGTGCCTTAGACCGGCACAAATCGTCAACGTGTCTAGCCTTCCTGGCATGGGCTTTCATGGCTAAGAGGGATTCTCCTTCTCTTGTGAGCCCTCTAGAGATGGTGTAAATTTTCCTAAGAGGTTGCTGGTCATTCTGGTTACGAGGTGGTGGCAACGCTTGGCCTCTATCAGCAACATACTAGCACAGTTGGCCACGCTGTATGAGCTCCTCAATCTATTTTTTGAGCTCATAGTAATCGTCTGTATCGTAGCCATGATTATGTTGGAAGCGATAATATTTGTTTGAATTCCTGCAATTTGGGGGAGATTTCATTCTTCTTGGACACTTCACTACAGGGTTGTCATGGATTTGGAATAGGAAGTGTCCGACAGTGGCGTTGAGAAAAGTGAAGATTTGTCACTTCCTCTGAGGGGCAAGACTAAATCGATCTTTGGTAGACACCCTTTCTGTCATGTCTCGTTCGTTTCTGTTCTCCCTCTTGTCTTCTCTGTCTCTTTCCTTTCTCTTCTCCCCTGTTCGTGAAGAGTCACCTTGTTTGTCCCTAGTGATGTCCTCAGTATTCATATATTTCTGGGCTTTTTGCCAATAGTTTTGACATGCTATTTGGTGGGTGCTTCATTACTAAAAAGAGGAAACTCAATGAACGAAGACCTCCTAAGAAGGCGGTCATGGTGACCTTATCATCGAGCTCCTCGATCTGGAGGACCTTCTCATTAAAATGAGTGAGGTAACTCCTTAACCTTTCGTCTCGATCCTATTTTATGTTGAGCAGGTGGGTGACAGGCTTCTGGTAGCGATGTCCTCCAATGAAGTATGACACAAATGACCTGCTTAGTTCAGCAAAGGAGCCAATGGAGGCTGGGATGAGCTTGGTGAACCACTGTCGAACAGATCCTTTCAAGGTAGTTGGAAAAGCCCTATACATGGTTTCATCAGGGACATTGTGCAGCTGCATTAAGGACTTGTAAGTTTTGAGGTGATCAAGTGGGTCCTTTGTACCATCAAAGGTTTTTACGGATGACATTTTGAATTTCTGGGGAAGGGGGTAGTTTGCCACGTCTGGCACAAAGGGTGTGTCGATTCGCTGTATGAGATAATCCACAGTCTTTGGTCCTTGCATTTTCATCCCAATGATTGGGGGCTTCTTTAGAATTATCGTAAAAATGGCTCTCATGCTCTACACTTTGATTTTCGCTCTCATCCTCTTGGAAAACAAGGATCTCCACTATGGGAAGATGGAGTTGGAGGGAAAGGCAGAGCTGCCTTATGATTCTGATGAGGGGCTCCCCTGTAGGGGCACCCAAGTGGGGAGTTCCTTGACGCCTAGGGCAAGGAGCTCCTTTGCCTTGATGTCCTCCTGGCTACGCACCTCCTTGTTGTCCAGCGAGCATCAGCTACAAAATTTGCTGATTATGAGTTATGAGTTATGAGTTATAAGTTATTGTATTGTTTCTAACATCTACTGTGCATTTGAAACATGATTAGTTGGTGGAGGGGCAGTCTTCTTCTCACGTAGCGGATTGTCTTCGGGTTGATACATGGATCTGGTGGTGATCGCCATAGGTACAGGAAAAAGGTGGTTGGGTGAGAACTTTGTTGTTTCTCACAAACAGCGTCAAACTGATGATGCACAAATTGGTTTTATGCACCACCTATCAAGTGACTGATAATTAATGTAGTAATTAAGAAGAAAGAGTGTAACATAAGCAAGACAAAAATGTAGAGTGGTTCGGTCAACGTGACCTACTCTACTATGAAGGGCTCGAATGGTCTGATGTTTTATTACTTCGAGGAGTGTAAAGAGATCAGGGAAGACTGATGGAGATACAAGCTATGAGAAAGAGATGAGAGTGATCATAGATGTGCTCATTGCCCCCTAAGTATTTGTGGGATTTACAATTTATAGTGTTTCTTAACATACTGAGACGTTTTTCCAGTAATTAAGTAGCTAGTTTGGTGGAGCTGGTGTCGTTCTCTCAATGGCTGAGGCAGTTACGAAGCTCCCCTTAAGATCAGGTCAAAGGATAACATGGTTGACTTTTTTCAAGACAGTATGAATGAGACTTTTGGGATGACACTACTTAATCCTTGGTGATATAGCTCCTCTAACTCTGATGAGCTTAATTGGGTGTGGATCCCTTTTGGACTGGACTCATTGGATCTCGTCTAATTAGATTCTTTATTCAAATTGGGCTTATGAACTGAGTTGGACACTTTGGGCCTGACCCATCAAAACTTGAATAAAAATTGAAATAAAAATTTGAGTCAAAGTCCTTAAAATAATAGTTTTTTTTGTTGTCACATGTGAAACAACGAAATATTTGAAATGAGAGAGGAATGGAGACGGTGAGTTGGTCAAACAAGATTTTAAAATAGTGGCTATGCAAAGAATGGGAAACGAAGGGATGAACTCCTAATCTCCCTAGATATAAGTAGGAGATGAATTTCAAGGAAGCTTTTTTTCTTTTGGGATAACCTGAAATGGTTATAATTAGGACTCTTTTGAACTCATACTTGTAACTCAAATTTTAAATGTACATAATCACTTGTAAACTATGAACATTAATCAAAACTCATGACACGAACTTAAAATATAAAGGTTATTTTGCTTCTTATTCTACCACTGAATCACCCCACGGCCGTGCGCCCAATTTCACACAATTCATGCTTATCACCATTGGAGGACCACATTGCTCCAGCTTTTCAATAGTTCCATAAATGAGAAAACCAAATGCTGTCCATTGCTACCAAAATTGTTGTTCTTGTAACACTGAATCAGACCACCCAAGGACATAATTTGTTATAACGTTATGTGGATTTAATATTGGTAAGATCACACTGCCATCTCTATAACAAGAAAGGAAGGAGGAGCAGTAACCACGTAGTGTGGGATGGGTGGAGACATTGCGACCATTTGTAGCTTCAAAAAGATATTAAAATCATTTGGCATTCCTCATAAATGACATGGTCTTTGCTTGATTGCACATAATAATTTTCTATAGGTGTGAAACGTTTAACGCATTATTATACAACGTCGAGAGTTTGAATCGAAAAAACCGTCATTTTTTCTTTCTTTTTTAAAATATATTTAAGGCTTGCTTTGGGTATTAGTTGTGGGATTAGATTAAATTAACTCAATAACAAATTGATATAATATTTGGATTAAGTTAAGGCACCCAATTTTATAGCACGAGTTAATACCGACCAGCTTGATGTTATGATGTCAAATTTCTCACATTATAAATTCAATATTAATATGATTATTGGTTTTACATTGCTCCAATTTTAGACATTAAAAATATATATTTTACACAACACACGGACATTTTCTATCTAAAACATGAAAAATGTTTAATTTTGAGACACTGTGAGAGACTCGGCAGTTGAGGAGACAAATTGAATCAAGTATCACATGAGTTGAAGAAGTCCACATGTAATTTGCTCTAAAAAAATATCAGCTAGGACTGAACTTTTGAACTGAATTGTTATGAAGGGATCTATCCATGTCGACTTGCAATCAAATTTCAGGGTAACCAACATTGATGTCCAAGCACATTTATGAAAGTCATTCAAAATGAATTGAGAAAATTCAAAGAAACATTCTTAGTGTTGCATGATGACAGAGAATTTTATGATTAAGACTTTTCTTTGTGGTAATTAGGCAAGAGTTTTGTTAATAAAGAACAACCTATATATAAATACGGTCCAATAGCATTCCTCATATATAAATATGTATGCCTTAACTCTAATAATATAGTGGCTCATGAAACCTTAAGGATAGTGATCATGGAGTTTGAAGAAGAAGTGTTAGAGCCTGTGAGTCCTAGTGCACAATACCTAAAGAGCTCGGCGCTTTTGCTCACTATCCTCGCTGTTCTCGAGTTTGAAGTTCCAGTTGATGACTTTCAAACCATGTCACTACTCAAGGATGTATTCTTGCCCATCAATCCCCGATTTTCCTCGGTCATGGTACCTACCTCTTTCTCTCTCTCTCTCTCTCTCTCTTCTGATAACTAACCACATGAGAACAGGTTACAGATAAAAAAGGAGTAAAAAAATGGAAGCAGGTTGAAGTAAAGCTCCAAGACCACGTACAAGTCTCCGTTTTCCCCAATGGAACGACTCTAGATATATACGATGACTACTTCAATGAGTATCTATCAATGATAGCCATGGATCAACTTCCACAAGATCAACCATTGTGGGAAGTTCATATAATCAAGTATCCAACAAGCAATGCAGCTGGGAGTGTAGTATTGAAGCTGCACCACGCCCTCGGCAATGGTTATTCTCTAACGGGAGCTCTTCTTTCTTCTCTACAAAGGGCTGACGATCCCTCTCTTCTTCCAACATTCCTTCACGTCAACTAAACTTGAAATTAAAGGGTGATCATGATTGCAGCTTTCTCGAGTTTCTGCCTCGAATTTTCTCCGGGGCGATCAACACTGTATTAGATTTTGGATCGAGCCTTCTAAGGAGTAGTGCGATCAGAGATGACTGGACACCTATCTGATCCGGTGATGATGGAGTGGAGTTCCGGCCAATAACTATTATTACTGTAACATTTCCTCTTGATCACATCAAAGAAATCAAGACTAAGCTTAAAGTGGTATAACTCCAATTGAAATGTGTAAGTTACACTTACACCCCCTAAACAATACCCCTCATTTTAGTTACTTTGTTGCTAAACTATTCACTTTCTTGCATTGCACTTTCAACTATTGATTTTAATTTCACAATGCTCCACTCGTTGACTTCTGTCCAATTTTTCAAGATTGGGCAAAAACTGAATTTGGGAAAAATTAGACAAAAGTCAATGATTGAGCAATGTGAAATTGAAATCGATAGTTTAAAGTGTAATATAAAAAAGTTGATAGTTTAGGGGGCAGTGTAAAATAAGGAGATTAATTCTATAGGCTTAAGTATGATTTGTCCATTTGAAACTAACTGACAATGGACGAAGTAAGAATTAGGATTAGGATATAATAAGGAGTATTTATGGCATCAACAAAGGGTCCTCATCAATTACCATGAAATTAATATGACAATATCTTATAGCTTCACTTTGATACCATGCTAAAACATTCGACTTAAAACTAATTGGTAATAGCGGGAGAGACGCACAAAACTCATACTAGTTTACAAATTATTATTATATAAAGGTGGGTCCCGGACGTGGGACAAATTCTAATACTTTTAGATAAGATCATACTAAATAAGATGCACTAATTACACAAACAAAGGGAATATCAATTATATATAGTGGAATAGAGTCACGTCCAAAAATTTCTATAACCTAGTTCCGATATCATACTAAAACATCCGATCTAAAATCAATTGACAATAGGTGAAGAAGCTATTCATAAAACTCAAATATATCGATATGCAGCAAGCTCTAATATATTACATCTAAGCTCTAGCAGACTTGTTTTTAGATTTGATTTTTCTTTTCAAGAAAGGTTGTTTTAGAATTTAGAGTACCATTAAAGAATGTTCAGTACAGGCAACGGCTCGTTACATCCATACAACACTGAAGAACTCAAGCATGGGTATCTCAAATTTGATTGGACTTGTGGAACAAGTTGCTCTGGCAAATCATCCAGTTAAAGGAATTTACTTTGCTGTGGTTGGTGCTCCACAGGTACATATGTTTCATTAGCCTTTGTTTAACATATCATCTATTAATACTGCAGTCTGCAAGCTGGTAAACTTGAGCCACACTTGCCATGTTAGTTCAACTTGTTAATAGGTGCCTTAAACCCATGNCGGTTGGTGCTCCACAGGTACATATGTTTCATTAGCCTTTGTTTAACATATCAGCCATTAATACTGCAGTCTGCAAGCTGGTAAACTTGAGCCACACTTGCCATGTTAGTTCAACTTGTTAATAGGTGCCTTAAACCCATGTAGTTTGGACGATTGAGATCCAATATCCAATAGCTCGAGGTCTCAAGGTCGAGTCTCATAAGAAAAGTTTTAATTTAGTTGATTCAATGTGCATTGTCTGTGAATGACTACGTATGTCCGAAGTTTACGTAACAACAATGAATTATTATGACACTTCTCGTTTATTCAAAAAAGACAATGCCTGGCCCCAACTTTTCNAGAGATCCAATATCCAATAGCTCGAGGTCTCAAGGTCGAGTCTCATAAAAAAAGTTTTAATTTAGTTGATTCAATGTGCATTGTCTGTGAATGACTACGTACGTCCGAAGTTTACGTAACAACAACAAATTATTATGACACTTCTCGTTTATTCAAAAAAGACAATGCCTGGCCCCAACTTTTCAAACAAACTTTTGACTTTGCTACATTATTAAACTCAAGTCAGTTATACTCGTTGTAACAATGCTACACATACTATCTTTGTGCACCACGTCAACATAGACCATATGATTAGTAGATTCTACAAAGTTTATTGAATATTCTATGGTTCTGATTCTGTCATATTAGGTGGTGTAAGAGAGATAGTGGACAAAGGTGGTGTAATTATTTATAACCAAAAATTCTTCATGTTCTGACCAAAAATGTTCATGCCTAATTATCTGTTTGGGCAAAGNCTCAACATAGACCATATGATTAGTAGATTCTACAAAGTTTATTGAATATTCAATGGTTCTGATTGTGTCATATTAGGTGGTGTAAGAGAGATAGTGGACAAAGGTGGTGTAATTATTTATAACCAAAAATTCTTCATGTTCTGACCAAAAACGTTCATGCCTAATTATCTGTTTGGGCAAAGCAAAAAAAAAAAAACCTAGTTCATGGGGGTTGGTGCAATGAGGAACTTCTTCTTAATGGTTTTGTAATTACTATTAGCTTTAGTGGCGTGGTGTTTATGGAATTGCAGAGTCTTGGAATAACAGTGATGAGTTATGTGGGAAAGCTGAGGGTTGCCGTGTTAGTGGAGAAAGGCTTCATAGATCCACGTTTGTTCAAGTCATGCATTGAAAATGCTTTTGAGTTGATTTTCAAAGCTGCGGTCTACTCTTCTTTATCACCAAAATCATAGAAACTTGCAGTTGAAGAAACTTTAGTTGCTCACACTTCCCTTCTTTATCCTTGTCCTCTTGGTTAAAAAAAAAAAGTTCTATGCAATGTGCAATACTCGCGTCTATAACGAAAGCTGTTGTAGTCATGTTTATATGTAGTTTTTTATGAGTAAAGTTATTAAAATCTAAAAAATTTGGCGCCAATCCTATTTAAAAAATTTATAATGATTTAAACATATGGATTAAACATATTTGGTGTTAAGTCGCATTCTTATCTTTATAGTACGATTTTTTGACCAAAAAACCTTTATTATTACGTTGAAGGCTGGTTTAGATATCACATTGAAGNGAGTAAAGTTATTAAAATCTAAAAAATTTGGGGCCAATCCTATTTAAAAAATTTATAATGATTTAAACATATGGATTAAACATATTTGGTGTTAAGTTGCATTCTTATCTTTATAGTACGATTTTTTGACCAAAAAACCTTTATTATTACGTTGAAGGCTGGTTTAGATATCACATTGAAGAAGGCAGTTTCCAAACTGAAGAAACCAATTATCCTTTATTTTTTTTAAGTCATTAAGATGGACCCAATTGAAGATATCCAAAAAATACACAAAATATGAGAGAGAGAGAGAGAGAGAGAGAGAGAGAGAGAGAGAGAGAGAGAGACTGTGCCTATGGCAATGGCTTTGTGACTTGCTGGTTCAGAATGTTATGATGGAAGATGACAGTTCTATGTGTGTCCCAATGACCATATGGCATGGTGAGGAAAAGAGAAGTAGAGGAGGAGAAGAAATGCCTCCACTGGACGTGATCGGTTTCTAATCTTGTGGTTAACGTTTTTTATGGCAAAGGAATCAAGCGAAATTGATATTTGAACTACAAATAACAAGAGTGATATTTTAGAAAAAACTGAGCGGAAAGTCCTGATATTATATCAATTTTCAGGGTTGGAAAATATAAGCAATATCCGTACAAGTTTGACTGTACATGTGTGGATGTAATTTACCTAAGAAAATGTCGTTGTTGTGGCAAAACACAAGCCGATGTCCATTAGGCCTACTCTCAATAAACGCCTAACATTTAGAGCCAGAGTCACATCATGCCTTCATGGAAAGCACAAAAACTTAGGTGGTGTTTGATTTGTGTCTTATTCTCAAAATACAAAATTTTGTGCCATGCTATTTGATTAGTATTTTTTAAAAACAAATTTTCTAAAAAAAAAAAAAAAAGAGAAATGGGAACAAAAAACAATGAATATCATTTAGATATTTTTTGAGTTTTTAAGCCAAAATAGAAAAAAAGAGAAACAACCCTAAACTCTTTAATGAGGTCTCTCCTTCCAACCTCCTTAGCAGCAAAACATATCATAGTATAAATGATTTTTTTTTGCTTGTCTCTCGTTCCCCGACTTTCTCTCTCTGTTTGACTTTTTCTCTCTCCACTCGACAAAACCAAACAACTTCTTCATCTCTCTAGAGATTGGAGAACTTTGATGATTGAGAGAGAGTTCAGACGAGATCGCCTTCTCCGAATTCTCCGAAGACTAAGAGCTCTTCGGTAAGGTTCAGACCTGGTTTTTAGATCTGAGTCTTCTCTGGCGCACGGGTTTTTTCTCTGGGTTTATTGTCTTCTTTATTGACTGAGTGTTCTTCGACGATTGAGAGCATTAGATTTAGGGTTTTTTTTTAGAGTTAGGTATTTTTCAGATTTGAATTTATTTTTTTTTCAAATCTAGGTCATCTTTGACGAAAGGGTTCTTTTTCTAACAACTAGGTTTAGATTTAGGTCTTTTCAGTTGATGGTTACTACTTATGTCTTCTCAGTGAATGGCTACTCCGACAAAGCTTCGACAATGCAGTTCAATCAATTGCTAGATTTTATTTTATTTTTTTTGTATTTTATCAAATTTATTATAATAAAATATTACATGCCCTTTGTTTACATCTCTTGTCATGTGCATGTCCAAACAGGTTTTATATTTTTTTGTTCTACAAAACTATTTTTGAAAATATACAACCAAACAAGTTTTGCGACAAAAAAACACCAAAATTAGTTTTCCAAATTTTTCTCTGAAAAATAATTTTCGGATACTATTTTCTGAGATGCAAACCAAACAGGTCCTTAGTTTCTTTCATTTTTATTTTTAGGGATATCGAAATTAATTTACGCATATGTCGACTAATTTACTCTCTAGTCTGATCAAAGGCTGATCATCCACGTCGTTACTAGGGTATTTGAAAGGGTATTCCCGATACTTTAGTATTTTAATTATTGTTTTAACCAACCCACCTTTCTTCTGTTGGATAAATTCTTACTCAAATAAATTTCGAAACAATTTTCTTTTATTTGTTTTGTGTCTCTTGTTTTCACAATTCCCTGTAGTTCGACCTCGGACTCTCGAAAATTTTTTTACTTTGCACAACCTTTACTTGAGTAATCAATTCTAAAGTTGTAGCAAATTTTTGACACCGTTGCCAAGGAGTTACTTGAAGACAAGGAACGCAACACCATCTATTGAGGTGTGGTAGATTTGAGGTTCATCACAAATCTGATAAGCTCGTCCCCTATATTTTTTTTATTATTTTTTATGTTTTTAGATTATTTTAATGAGGTGTTAAGTGTTTATCCTATAGAGGGATTGTATGTGATTTGTGATGTGTTTGGGCATTCTACTAAGATGTGCCCTTTAATCCCAATGGTTTTTTAGGGATTGATCAATTGAATTACCTAATTCTTTTTCACCTTACCCTGGCCATTATTTTGAAACTTTGTATCCTAATTTTGGTCGGGAAAACAAACATTATCAGTAACCAGTATATGCCACACCACCACAAGACCCTCCCCAATATCCATCCTACCATGACCTAAAAGAAAAGAATTTAGAAAATATTTTTAATGAATTTATGCAAGCCCAACTAGTTTTCAATCCCCAAATAAACCAAGATATTGAAAAGATAAAAGACATGCTCAATACATTGATACAAGAACAAGAGGTTAAGAATGGTCAATGTAGTGAGGGTGATTCTTTTCCTGAACTACAGACTAATGATGAATCTAATAATACTCTTGATAGTGAAAAATTAAGTGACATTATTATTCAACAAGAGACTAATGAAGCCAAATATTTTTTATTATCAAAGAGTAGTAATGAGATTCACATATCTAATCTTGGTAAGGGTATGAAAGTTGATTTGTGTGTTGTAATTGATAAAGATCTATTTTCTATCTCATCATTAGATTTGCATAAAAATGAATATATCTTCCTTTTCTTGCATTTTTCAATGATATATTGAGTATATAAGTGGATAGTTCAATTAAAGGAGTTGCTTCGACACCACATTTTCAAACCAATAAAATTGAATGATCGCATATTTAAATCTAACTTTAAGTTGGATTGAGTGTAAACTTTTATTTTTATTTGTACATAGTAGTTAAATTTTATTTTATTTTTGTTTAATATTAGTTTTCTTTCTGTTTGTTTCAATTTATAGTTTTTCTTTTTTATTAAGTCTTTTATTTTTAGGTTTTACAGTTGTTACGGCACCAGGTATTCCTATCCCTTTTATCTTTATTTATTATTTTTATTAAGCGTTAAGGTATTTATTTTTATATTGAGGACAATGTTGGATTTCAGTTAGGGGGTGTGGGTATGTTTTGTATTGTGAAAAATTCTAGTTTATGTGTTTTTTTTTTTGACAGTTTCTAGTATTTACATTGGCAAAAAAAATAATAAAAAATATAAAAAAAAAACTATTGGTTATTAAATATCTAAATAACATTTTTATGCATAATTTGACACAACAATATATAAATAATTTGCTTAACTTTAAATTTGTAACTATTTAAGCATCACATATAACTTTATTATATATTTTTGTATCTCATATCATGTTCTTATAAAAACTCACAATTTGTGCAATTTAGACTTTAGCAAGTTGAAAATTTGTTAGATATTTTACCTTGAAAACTTGAAACATATAGTGAAAATGAATAAAAATCTAGTGAGTTTTGATCCAATCTTCCTTTGATGGTTATTTATAATTACTTAAAAGAATTATTTCTTTCAGCTAATATATTTCAATACTCTCATTATTTTTGTTTTGGTCAACACCAATATTATGAATGATTGCTTGACTTTAAATTATTTGCATGAGAAGTGTGTTATCAAAAGCTCTTGAGATATGATTTTAGGTCATCTTTGACATTATTTGAGTCTAAATCTTTCTCTGTGAATATTATTATGCTAAAATTAAGGATATGATTTGGTCAATATCCTTAATTATATAATCTTATTTTATTCTGTAGTTGTAAGATATTTCGCTTTAATCTTTTATTCTTTCTTTGTTAATGTTTGTACTATATATATTGTACAACTAAGATGAATGGAATGATCAGAAAATTATTCCACAATTGTGTTTGTTGATGTGGTATCGGAGCCTCCTTCAATCTCCTTTTCTTAACTCTAGGAATTGAAGTAGGTCTTGTATTCACAATTGTTGTTGTTTCTGTTCATATCATTCCGCTGCAAAATTTTCTTTTAGTACCATCATGACTAAAGTAAGTAGTGCTAAATCACCGAAGAAGAACGAATCTTCGGCTATTGTGTCTAGCTCCATTTGTAAGAAACTTCATATCTCATCACTCTGAAATGGCTTGACGGTACCAATTATGTGGAGTAGTCTTTGAATGCCCAAAATAAAATCTGTGGTAGAAAATTTTGGGGTTATATTTCAAATCTCAAGGCTGCTCCATCAAATAAAAAGTCAAAAAAGTATGAAGAATGAGAGGATGAAAACTGTTTGAACAAATCTTAGCTTTTTGATGCGATGACAAAGGATATTCGGTCTCTCTTTCTTCGATTGTCTACGGTGAATGAGATATGGGAGGTAGTTAAAAACACGTATTCGGTTGATCAGGATGCGTCAATAACTTATCAACTTCATTGCGAGGTATTTTCTGTTTGCCAGAATGAAGGTTCTGTTATTCCTTATTTTGGCAAATTACAAAAAATATGGTAGGAGCTTGATGATATTGATGTATGTATTATGGAGTGTGCCAATGATATTGCTATATACACCACGAAGGTTAATTTCGAACGTGTCTATAAGTTTTTGGTTGGTCTTGATCCTCATTTACATGGGGTTCGAGTTCGTGTACTTTCTACAAAATCACTTCCTAATATACAGACGGCTTATGCTATGGTTCGTTCGGAAGCTAATCGCCAAGATGCTATGCTTGGAGGAAATATTGGAGAAGGGGCTATAATGGCTTCTCGAAAGACGACCATCTCAAATAAGGATAAAAAATGTACACACTGTAATAGTACTGGTCATACGGTGGACACGTGTTTCCGATTTCATGGGTATCTAGAATAAAATCCAAAGGGTTAGAAGGCATCTCATAAGGAGGCATACTCTAATCCAAAAGTAAATCTAGCCACAACCCTTGCATTCGCTGCTAAGTCTGGTATGTCTTTTATTAGAAATAGTGATTGGATAATTAACTCTGGCGCAACATACCATATGACTTGTGATCGTTATAGGTTTAGTCATTTATTTCCTAAATGTTCCAAAGCCACTATTACCACGGCTAATGATGTATCATCTTCGGTTATTAGAGTTGGTACAATTCCATTATCTTCCACGTTAGAAATTGAAGATCTCTTAATTGTGTCATCGTTAAATTGTAATATTCTCTCTATGAATCAATTAGTCAAATCTCATAATTGTGTTGCTCTATTTTTTCCTACTCACTGTGTCTTTCAGAACATCCATACTCGGGAGAAGATTGACAGTGGTAGACAAATGGGAGGATTGTACTATCTTGAAGATGGATTCCAACATTAAGATAAAAAGGAGCAAGCTCTTGTGATAAATGAAGATTCAGTGAATAAGAAAAATGAGGAAATTTGGCTATGGCATAGGAGATTGAGACATCCTTCCTTTGGCTATCTTAGGAGATTATTTTTATCCTTGTTTCATTGATGTAATCTTTTAGACTTTGTTTGCGAAACTTGTCTGAAGGCAAAAAGCCATCATACTACTTTTCATTTGAGTAATCATAAAACAGATTTACCTTTTTCATTAGTTCATTCAAATGTTTGGGGATTGGCCCCAATTTCTACTCTTAATGGGATAAAGTGGTTTATAACTTTTGTTGATGATTGCACTCGAACGACTTGGGTTTATCAAATGAAACACAAGAGTGATGTTTGTTCAATTTTTTGCATGTTCCATCAAATGATAACTACTCAGTTTGTTGTTCCAATAAAAATCTTTCGTTTTGATAATGGTGGTGAGTACGAAAAGAAGGAATTGAAGGAACTTATGCACTCTAAAGAGATTATTCACCAAACATCTTGCACAGATTCTCCTCAACAAAATGATGTCACAGAGAGAAAAAAGTGACATTTATTGGAAGCTACTCGATCTCTTTTAATTGGAGGTCATGTTCATATTTACTTGTGGGGTGAAGCTTTGAATTCGACAGTCTATTTAATAAACCGTACGCCATTCAGTGTTCTTAATTTTCCTCTCTGATCATTGCACTCTTCCACCGATAGTACTTTTGGCTCCACGAATTTTTGGGTGTGTAGTTTATGTTCATTTGCATCCGCGCCTATGGACTAAGCTTGAGTCTCGTGCCTTGAACTGTGTTTTTGTGGGATATGAGAACAATAAAAAAGGCTACAAGTGTTATGATCCAAAAACTTGGAGGCTTTATGTTTCCATGGATATTACCTTCCATAAGACCGAACTTTTTTACAGGGCACCGACTCATAATTTACCATTTCAGGGGGAGAATTCAGAAGAAGTGATAAATTATGAAGAACTGGTGGCATTTTTTTATCAAAAATTTGAAAAATATTGCTTTGTCCAAAGATTCTTCAAGACAGGGTGAATTTTTCAATGGAAGGAAAGAGTTATCGATTGTTGAACCAGAGACTTCTCATACTGAAGATATTTCTCTTCATGATAGTACAATGTTTCCCAACAATTCAACACAACCACTGAGCCAGTCTTCCTCTGAGAGTCCTCTAGAGGTATCCACTAATCCTAATTCCATTGGTAGTGATGATTTTTTTTTTCTGAATCTCAAGTGTCTCAATATCGTCTTCCACCTCTTTTTAATTGTGGTGTGCCACATGTAAATATGAGTCTGATCCTAAATTCAAAGTTAGATATCCCATTAGTAATCATATGTCTTGTCAAAAACTGTTTATCATTTGTTCCTATTCCTAGTAAAATGCAAGAAGCTCTAGCAGATGATAGATGAACTCAAGCCATGGCAGAAGAAATGGCAATGCTCGAGAAAAATGATACTTGAGAGTTTGTGACTCTACCAAAAGGAAAAAAAACCGTGGGATGTAGATTGGTCTTAGCGGTCAAGCATAAAGCGGATGGTACAATTGAGAGGTATAAAGCTCGATTGGTTGTGAAAGGATATACGTAATCTTATGGGGTTGACTACCAAGACGTTTTTGCACCTGTTGCGAAACCTAATACAGTTAGAGTGCTCCTGTCTTTGGTGGTGAACTGAGATTGGCCACTTTTTCAGTTTGATCCTAAAAAAGCTTTTTTACATGGAGATCTTACAAAGGAAGTGTCCATGAATCCCCCTCCATGTGTGAAAAAAAACTCAGATGTTACAATGGTGTGCAAACTCAAAAAAGCATTGTATGGATTAAAACAGTCTCCAAGAGGTTGGTTCGGTAGATTTACCAAGTCTATGAAGAGCTTCGGATATAAACAAAGCAACTCAAACTATACTTCGTTTTTAAAGCATCGAATGAATAAGGTTATTGATTTGATTATATACGTTGATGACATGCTGGTGATAGGAGATGATTAGGAAGAAATTGAGAGCTTACAATGACACTTGGTCTTAGAGTTTGAAATGAAACAACTTGGAGATTTAAAATACTTTCTCGAAATCGAGGTAGCCCACTCAAAGAATGGTATTTTCTTCTCAATGAAAATACATTCTTGATTTGTTAACTGAAATAGGTATGCTTGGATGTAAGCCTGCGAATACCCCTATTGAACAAAATCACAAGTTGTTTATTTGTTTGCATGCAACTTCTACTGATAAAGCAAGGTACCAGAGACTTGTGGAGAAATTAATTTATTTGTCTCATACTAGGCCAAATATTGCTAATTCGGTATGCGTAGTGAGCCAATTTATGCATGATCCTCATAAACCTCACATGGATGTTGTGGAACGCATATTGCGATATTTAAACTCTGCTCCAGGTAAAAGGTTGTTGTTCAGCAAGAAAAATCACTTGAAGGTAGAAGGTTACACTGATGTAGATTGGGCTGGTTCATCTGACGACAAAAAATTTACATTAGGATACTTTACTTTTGTAGGGGGCAGCCTTGTGACTTGGACGAGTAAAAAACAACCAGTAGTAGCAAGGTGTAGTGTAGAAGTTGAATATAGAGGCATGGCTTTTGGAATATGTGAATTACTATGATTGAGGAACTTGCTTAAGGATTTGGATGTTCACTTAGGAGGCAATGAAGTTGTATTGTGATAACATTTATGCTATAGAGATTGCTCATAATCCAATCCAACACGATTGGACGAAGCATGTGGAAATTGATAGACAATTCATTAAGGAAAAACTTGAGGCCGGAATCATTGTTTTTCCGTTTGTGAAGTCTGAAGGCCAACTAGTTGATGTCCTTACCAAAGCTGTCACCGACAGTGTTTTCAATCACTCTTTGGACAAGTTAGGCATGTGCGATATACATACTCCAACTTGAGGGGAAGTGCTAAAATTAAGGATATGATTTGGTCAATATTCTTAATTATGTAATCTTATTTTATTCCGTAGTTGTAGGATATTTCTCTGTAATTTGTTATTCTTTTCTTGTTAATGTTTGTACTATATATATTGTACAACTACAATGAATGGAATGATCATAAAATTATTCCACAATTGTGCTTGTTGATATATTATCCCTAGAAGTCGTGATTGAGTCATTCAAACAAAATTTTATTTCTTATACCCAACATATAATAACCAAGCCAATGAAAAAAATAATATCCTTTACCCTTGGTTATCCCGAGATTGAGTTTTTATTGTTTATGAAATTTGGGAGTTGTTGGTTGAAAAAAGATGATTAAAAAAAAAAGATTTTGCATACTTGTGAATATCTGTATTAGATGTTTTGCTAAAAAAAAAATTACTATATATATTATATTGTCGTGCTAAAAAAAAGAAAAAAATTAAAAAGAAAAGAAAGACAAAATGTCTAACTGTGAAAAAGAAAATTGAAAAAAAAAAGAGAAAAAAATAGCAAGCATGTAATTGAAAAGGAAAAAAGATGAGTAAGTATTGTAAATTGTGCTTCCAATAGGTGAAGAGTGAAAGACTATGGAAAGAAATTTAGTTGTGTAATGTAAATGTTCTCTCAGAATAGTCTTTTGAATTTCTGAATATCCTTCATTTTAAAACCCTAATTTCAAGGCCCCATTACAACCTTAGATAAATACGTATCTGATCTCAAGAGTGTATTGGTGGATGTATAACTTGTGTGAATAAGGAAAAGAATGGTAATTATTTATTGTGTGTTGATTTTCTTTGATGTGACTATGTCAAATCCTTTTCGTTTAGGTGATGATTATTTTAATAGACATGTGAGTATTATATTCTTCTCACATGTGATATTTGAGAGAATAGTCACTTTAATATGAGAGAATTTTTTATGAGTGAATTTCCTAGTAAGATTTGGCATTGAGACGAATAATTGATAGTTGTAGAGGTGATTACAAGATAAATTATTGACTTGGTATAATTAATTCACACTACACACATTTTTATATGGGAACATGATAAATGCATATATTTATTTAATGTAGAGTTCTATACTTTACTTTGCATGTGCTTATAAAAAGGCTTACAGTTTAGAATTTTTATATTGTAGTCACAATTTGTGTTATGAAATTATTATTTAGATATTTGATGATAGGATGATGTTTGGAGGCATCATCTTTGAAAACTCTCACGAGACTATATTCGTCCACTAGGAAAAATCTAGGGGTTTAAAGGCTTGTTACATATGCTAAATGCAATCGTAAATCCTACGAAAGTGAATTTATATTTTATTTTATTAGGTTATTTTATTTTTAATTTTTAGATGTTGAGATCCATGTATTATTAGGGACTAGTAACATTCGAGTTAGGGGTGTGATTAACCATTAAAAATGCTATTTTATTATATTTAATAATTTATTAATTGCATATTATTTGTGATTAAATGTGTTAAATTTCTTAATTTTCTAGTTTGATATTTTTTCTAGTTGTTTAAATTATTTTGCAAGTAAATTAGTTGATTTAAAATAATAATGAATAAGACAATCACTAGATGAAGAATCACAATTGCTAAGGATTGAAGAGTCAAGATTAATATAGGAAGATTGGAAGATAAGGTAACAATTTAATACTTATAAGAGTTCAAGTTAGAAGAAATCTTATTTAAAGTTAGATTAGGAAAATATCCTAAAAAATAAAGATTTGACACGTCTTCAGTATTTTTGTTATAACTTTTGACTCCGATATTATAATGTATTGATTTTTGTGGGGTTGGAAAAAATATTTCAAGGGTTACAAAAGTGTATTTCACGAAAATTTCATGAATCGGCCTTTAAATATGAGAAATTCAAGTTCGAAGTCTGAACAGATTTTATAACTGCGCCCCCCAAGATTTTATGCACGAGATTTAACCTTAAAATACTTTTTTTTGGAAAAGAATTCTTCCAAATCCAGCCTTCTACCTACATTTAGAATTTATTTTAGTATAAATAAATGTTCTTATCTATTGAGAGGATGATTTAAATTATTATTCTTTTCCCATATTTTCTTTTCTAGCTTTTGTTTTAAGTTCTATGGCTTGTTAAAAACTCAACTAAAGTTAGGGGAGATACTTTCAATGAAGTACGATATTTATTATTGATTCAATTTTCTTTTTAATGTATGATTTATTCTTTTAATTTAATTCTTGTCTTTTAGTAAAATTT